ATATATATATATATATATATATATATATATATATATATATGCTACAACAAGCTTGAACTACATCTTAGCAGGCTGTCAAATTTATATTCTCACCCCAGATATTCTGATGATATTTTGAGAGGAATACAGAAATATTTGTCTATAAGGCCGAGCAGAAAGAGAACAATCTCTCCACATTTCACTTTCAGAACCTGTTTTTACAGAAATCATGTGGTCTTCATTCCAACAAAGAGAAAAAGGACAAACTTTTTCTTGAAATAAGTAAGTAAATAAATAAAACAAGCGCCGTCCTTCTGTTTTGAAGGTATAAAAAGTGTAACGCAGCGAGGACGGAACGAGATGAAACACTGTCCCAGAATCCGGCAGTAACTTCGTTTTTTACCACTTGCTCTCGGCGTCGGCTGCTGTGTTTCAGAGCGATGTGAGGCTGCCAGCAGAGCGGCGGCGTTCAGAGCAGAAACAGCCGCACCGGCGATGATTTCCCCGAGGAGAGGGGCTGTTGGTGCAGCACGCTCTCTGTATTAGATTCTGTTTGTGTCAACTCCCATCCATTAAAAAAACAACTCCCAACTTTTCTCTGAAAGTATAAACTCAATATGTCACCACACACAACTAATATCACACAGAGTCTTTGTGTAGCTGCAGTGTTGATAAATAATAAAACAAGCTTTTGATTTCATATTTAACCTGATCCAAGCAGCAAATATTACAGAAACTTCCAAACAAGCAGCTAAAGCGTTTGCATGGATCAGTTGTTTTATTCGTTTATTTTTAACAAGATGAGCTTAAAAAAAGTTTTTGTTTTTCGTCCCTCATAAAAAGAAACGTTGCAAATGATTTTCTTTAACACCAAAGTGGTTAAAGTGGAAATCTGATTTCATCTTCTGTATGCATTTTGCATCTTTCCTATAAAATATTAATAAAAACATGTTTGATTTAAGAGTATTTCTGGTTGGAAAAAGGTGATATAACACATTTCTGCACTACCATGAAGTGGGAGAACAACACGGTGACAGGTGTAGGACTGAATGTCGTTTAAAATGCTGTCAATCAAACGTTTTCACGTCACTCCCACAGATTTCAGAGCTCCCTCGTTTAACATAACGATACTCTTAAATAATACATCTGTCTTTAATTAAATTAAATTATTGTTTGGTTTTCAAAGTTTGTTCAACTAAAAACATTTAAATTTAATATTCTAAGTCACAGATATAACATGATCAAATGTTTATCAGCAAGACACATTACAACATTTCTTTTTTTATATATATATAATGTTGCTTTTTGAAAATCATTTAGGTTTTCCTACTCCTAACCAAGTATTGTTGTAGGTTAAAGCTACCTAAACACAGTAATCCACACCAACATGGATTTTTTTGCTAAAAGAAGCTGAATATTTCAAAAAGTTTCATAGCATGAGTCTCCTGAACGAGCAGAACGTTTCGATACCTTTGCTGAAATAGCTTAAAAACTGTGGGATGAGTGGAATCCTGAAAAACATACGGAAGATGCTTAAAATAAAAAAAAAAAAAACAGGATCTCAACAGCATAATAAAGAGAAAGAGGAAAACAAGTGTTTAAATGATTAATAAGGTGATTCATGATTTATACAACAAAAAGATTCAAAGATTATCTTAATAATGTTTATCGTTAAATAGTGGCTTCTGATAAGGAATGTGTTCCTCCATAACAATAACAGAATGTCTGAAATGTTAAATATGATAGAAATACATGAAAGTACTGTTGTTTTTGCTCCGTCTGCACGCAGACGTTTCTCTGGGAAACTGCAAACCAGAAGCAGACGGAGGAAACTGTAGATTATTTGCATGCAGGTCTCAACATACAGAAAGTCGTGATGTGACGCTCGCAGAGCAGGTGGGGACACAAAGGTCAGGATCACAGTGTTTCTCCTAAAACACACATTTTTACCTTGCAGGATATTTAATACAGATTAGCTCTGCGTCTTCTGAGTGACTTCAGATTAAAGCTTCCAGGTTTCAGCCTCACGTCATCCTAATCTGCATTAAATCCTCCGGCTCCGGCGGTACTCACAGCTCAGCTCGATCCGGATGAAGTCTTTGATGCCCAGGTTCTCCAGGAACACGCCGAAGGAGGCCGTGGTTTTAAAGAAGAAGGAGATGTCCGCGCTCAGTTCTCCGTGGAACGTCGGGAAGTGGAGGTACGACGTCTCTTTGTCAAAAAACGCAGCGTTCCAGAAGTTTTCTGAAAAACGTCAACGGAGAATATTTAAAAAACTTCAAACAAAAATCAGAAACTAGACATGCTGAGTGTGGAGGGGGATTTCTAAACTCTGCTGTCGGAGCTGAAAACGAGTTGTTAAAACTACAGCCTAACAGCTAAATAGAAGCAGAAAGTCAGCAAAAGACTAGCTAAAAGATAAGTCGCAAAACACAATAGAAGCTAAATATAGCAAAAGGCAAATTACATCTAAAAGTAACAAAAGGGAAGCTTAAAATATTAAAAGTATGACTACAAAGAATAGCTAAAAGCTACAGTAGAAAAAGCCTAGCCAAAGAAACCAGCTTAAAGTAGCTGAACAGTAGCTAAAAGCTAAAAACAAAACACACCAATACAAAATACCAGCTAAAAGCTAAAAGTAACAAAGGAGTAGCCTGGATTTTTAAAAGGCTAGCTAAAGACATCAAAAGGCTAGAAAAGGTAAAGTAGCAAAACATAAAGCTAAACCTAATATATCAAAACGCTAGCTAGAAGCTAAAAGTAGCAAAAAAACAGCTAAAAGTAGCAGAATGTTACCTAAAGTAGTTTAAGTAAACAAAAATAAACCAAGTAGGCTAAAGCAGATCAAATAAAGTTTTTTGAAGGTATTAAAGATGTTTTTATATATTTTAAATATTTGTAATAAAGAAGACTGTATGAAGAGAAGAAAGTACACATCCGTGAGTAGATTACGAGCAACATGCTTGAAATAAAAGGGACACAACGAGGAATGCGTTCACACAAAAACGACAGCCGAAATGTTTAAGGAGAGGTGATTGAATTAATTTCTGTTATTTACTTTTTAATTTTGTTAGATATTTTTTCTCCATCATCTGAAGCCAAACAGTTACAGCAGATGAACTCACTGTCTCCATGACAACGGAGCGGTCCCACCCTGTAAGCAGCTTCTGACCCCGGCCTCTGGACGTCCCCAAGAACCAGAGACCTGACCGGTAGGCTCGTCTTGTGGGTGAGAAGACCCGAGTCTTCTGTCCTGTGACAGGCGGAGGAGGAGGGGAGAGAGAGGAGAGGGTAGAAGAGGCAGAAGTTAGAAGAGGAAGATGATGTGGAGACACGACGAGATGGAAAAAGAGAAATAAATAAAACCACGAAGAAACAGAGATAATCAAGAAGATAAAATGACGTAATGAAAAGTGTAAGAGGAAATGGAAACTGTGCAGTAAAAGGAAAAAAATAATCCAGAAAAATAAGCAGATGAGGACAAATCTACTGCAAAAGCTGTATAAGGACAAATAAGCTAATTGTTCATGGATCCTAATTCGACTGATAAAACCTGACAGGCCACGGCAACAAGAACACAAGAATTTGACCCGGTGAGAATCATTTTTCAGCAAAACATTTTCATAATCCGCCGGGTCGCGTCGCATCCACCCTGACACCCAACACTCAATCTCTGCCACTTCCTGTGACGGCCGTTTCCAGACAGACAGCTGAGCGAGCAGCTCCGTCCATTTACACCCTGCTCAGATAATCTGCACGTCAATCTTCCCGTCAGCTGAGAGTTTCTCCCAACAGAGGAGGAGGTGGTGTCGACAACATCAGCAGGGAAGTTGGACGGAAAGATGAAAAAATGACGACAGAATACGAGAGCAATAAATAAATCATTGCTCCACTGTTAGCTCAAACTATTTCCTTCATAATAAACAAATATAATCTGACTTTACAGCATTTACCTATGATAGGAGTACTAACAAAATCATAACTTCTGTTTCATATTCTCTCATTTTGGTTGTTTTGTTTAAATGTAAAGCATTTATGGTTTAATAAATATTATATCAGGCAGATACACTGTATTTAATCTAAATGCCTGAAGTTTTAAAAACCTGGAAGCCAAAATATAAAAGAAGGAATCTATATACATACACATATATATATATATATATATATATATACATACAAAGTATATACATGTATATATATACATACATGCATTTATATACATACATACGTACATACATATATATATATATAGACAAATTATATATATGTATATATATATACATACATGCATTTATATACATACATATACATGCTGTATATATATATATATATATATATATATATACAGTATATATAGACATATATATATACTGTATAAAAAGTATATTATATGTTTAAATCTGAGGTTTCTATCTGTGTGCAGCTGGGAGCCAGCATTTCTTCAAACCAAACATCTTTCATCTGTGAAATCAGCTGCGCAGGTGTTCAGTTAAAAATAAGAACAAAAATTTTCAGACTGGCACATGTTTGGCCACCTAAATCTACCCTGAAGCCAACTTAGGAAGGGAGAAATATCACAGCGACAGCTCTCAAGCTGCAGAGCTGCTGCACTGAATGAAAAGAAGGTTGTCAGGATGCAAACTGAGCAGAGGCTGTTTATTACCTGCTCCTTGATTTCCTCTGGTTCAACAACAAGAAATTAATTTGAGCAAAATTCAGACGTTTTTCTGCTGAAAGAGTCATGACTTAGTGTAGCACCACCATAGAGTTAAATAGGACAACAAGAGGACACATTGTTCACGCAGCTGTGTCTAAGTGGTTAGAGCGGTCGTCCTCCAACAGGAGAGCTGCTCGGGTTTGATCCACAAGCAGTCACGTGTTGAAGTGTCCCTGAGCAAGGCACTGAACCCCTCACTGCCTCTGATGTGTGTCCCATCGGTGTATGAATGTGATAAAGCTCTGGTTAGTCTCTACAGATTCAGATTATCTTTGTACAGGTATAGTAGAGTGCTGCATGAATGAGGGCACAGACTGTGTTGTAAAGAGCTTTGAGTATCTTGATCAGATAGAAAAGGTGTTATATAAGCACAGTCCATTTACCATTTATATAAGCTATCAGGTCAGTGTATATAAAAATGTCACAAAGCTGTATGTGCTGCGGTTATACCAACTGAAGCGAAAATGAAAAACGTGTCTCATTCCACAAATCAGCAGATCTTAATATGTGAATGTGATCAGACCATGATTGAAGCTAATAATGTAACCGTTTAAAATTAAAATGAGTCTATAGCCGATGTAATGGCTGAAGCAGAAGGTCCGCTTGTCCGGAGCCTGGTTCTGCTAAAGGTTTCTTCCTCACGAGGGAGTTTTTCCTTTCCACTGTCGCCTTCATGCTCGCTCAAGATGAGAGTTCTGTGATGGAGTTAAACTCAAAGCAGTCTGCTCCTCAGATAAATAATGTTCAATTATGTTTTTTTTATATGAATGTTTCCGTTCAGTGCCCTGAGACGACTTCTGTTGTGACTTAGCGCTTTATAAATAAATTGAATTGAAGTGTTAATTATTAAAATGTCTTGACTATGCTAGCTTCGGTGACATATGTTGTTCCACAGAGTGTAGCACGGAGCTGAATCATGCTACAATTAAATTATTAAATACTACAATCTGGCATTGCCTCCGATTTATGTAATAATTGCTCAGTGTAAAATATTATATATTTGACAATTTTTGGGGTTTTATTACACAAACCTGATCTCTTGAGAGGATGATTAATTAAAATCAGTAGAGACAAGTTTCATCCTTTAAAATATCACTGGGTCTGCAGTGAACATTTTCTAAGTGTCCACTACAGAACAGATAAATAATAATAAACATACATTATTCCAATAATGTTAAACAATACCCTTTATATGTAATTTCTGAGTTGTGTGTGTTATTGACTGACCAGATGTAGCTTAGATCATTATAACTTATAAACGATTTATTTTCCTTTAATATCATTCTGCTGTTTTACACGATTGCTGAATGAAATTCATTAATTATCAATTCTAGTCATTTATTGTGAAAAGACTGCACACAGTTTGTGACACAGATCCAGTTGGTTCTAGTTTATCAAATAGTTGTTTATCGGCTGAGAGCTGATGTCCTCTTTGGACGTCGTCTTTGCTCGTCCATGACGTCAAATATGCGAGCAGTGGACGGGACAGGACCTCTAATTGTCTTACTTAGCAATATATATATATAAATATATGTATATATACTGTATATATGTATATATATTAATGCTATGTTCAGTAGCAAAGACAAGACAAGCTACAATGGTTAATATTAGTCTTTTCCATTATAAAGTCTAACCAAGAACAGCCAGAAAGTCCAACAGGTTAATTCAACTCAAAATAAACTCAACAATATTTTTGCTCTCTGCACTCATTAAATACAAAGGAAAATGAGGCTTATATTGACAAAAAAAAATACTCAGAACAAAATACAGAGAAGGACTCAGCAGCTGAAACACAGTTCCTCTTTTGCCCTGAGAGCTGAGTATTTTAATATTTATTTTTATTTTAAACTTTTCCAGAATAATTGACTGCTCTCTATTGAGACGATTTAACTCTGTGTAAAAACAGACGGCATCATAAAGGAGCATTTTGTTGTCTGTGTGTTTGGACGGGTCCGTACCACTCGGTGCGGTCGGCGTCACAGTTGCAGTAGTGCTGTGGGTCCACGCAGTCGCCCTGCAGGCCGCAGGCGCACTGCTGGCTGCCGGGATGAGCTCCTCCCCAGTAAGTCTGGACCCGTCCGGGACCGGGGCCACCGAGCCACCAGCTGAACGGAGACCCCTCTGAAGCACACGGAGACAAACAGGCTCACAGCTGTGGTGGAGTAACACTTTCAGTTTGTTTTCTGTTACCAGTTCAGTCTGGTTTGAATACCTTCATGTTCCCAGTCGTTGTTCACCTGCACACTCTGACACACACCTGACCCCACCTGTTCTCACTCACCAATCATCCATCCTGCTGTATATTAGCTCTCTGGTGTCAGAGCCTCAGGAGTTTGTCCTGGTTGTACTGGTCATGTTTCAGACCTGGGGCTGGGGGGCGGGGGGTGTATCTGCTACTTGTTTGGGCATTTTTTAAATTAAAACCTTTGGCTCATGCCTGCACCCCTGGCTCCACCTCTCCACCTGAACCTTACACAGCTTTAGAGTCTTTTTATCACACGCTACCATGGAAGATGAAAGAACAAATAATAGCGTTTGCCTGTGTGTGCGTTTGTTAGTGTGTTAGCAAAATATCACTGTCTGCCTAAACATCTTGAGCGATCAGTCAGAGCTCCGATTATGTGTTGAGGATCCCTATCAGCTACCACCACATCAAATCCTAACTAAACATCTGTAAAACTCACTGACTTATTGCTGTTTTCAAGGCGGATTAGCTGTGGCGGCCATCTTAACATTCGTCTGACTCCAAACATTGAGTTGTAGATATACATACAATAATAACTTTGAGAGTTTTATTAAAATCCACCCTGTTGTTTATGAAATATTACGCTAACAGATGAATAATCAAGATTTTTAGCAGCGTGGAAATAAAGTAAAAATAAGTAAAGAAGTGACGTAACTGAACTACGACTCCCTAGAGTTGCGATGTTAGCATTTAGCATGTTGCTACAATATTTTATCCAAGCTGAAAGTCCAGGTTGTAAACACAGTTTGACACTTTAATAGTGAACAATTGTGCAATAAAATGGTACAAACTCACATTTTTACAGACATAAATATGTTTTTACACTGGTATATTTATTAGTACTGAGCTTTTTTATATTTTTACTTACTTTTGGGAAAGTGTCTTATTAGTTAAATTGCTTTCTGTGCAGTAAATGGACTGCATATCATTTTGTTGTATGTTTCGTTTAATAAGCTTCTAAATTTTGTCAAACAAACACAGTCAACTACATGATCGCCCGCCTGCCATGACGGCAAGTACCGGTAATAAACATGAACTTAACGGTGAGGAACTAGACGTCTCTGCTTCTGTGAACGAAGCCAACATTTGAAGAAAATTCACGTTTTCCAGCTCCTTTTAAATTCTGAAACAGCAGATTTGACTGTAAGGACTAAAAACACGTTTCTCATTTGGAGAGGACGGTGAGTTTGTTTTCCTAAAGTTTTTAATGAAACTTTCTCTTCTTCAACTTTTTTTTACTTCAAAGTTTTCAACCAACATTTTGTCCTATTGATCTGCACAAATGGCAATCAAGATTATTGTTTCTAAAACCATATAGTGTTTATTTAGTTACAAATACAGAAGCATTTGCAGCTTTGTGGATGGGCCAGATCTTTTATTCAGGCTTAATAAACTATTTTTTGGATCACTTTGATGTAAAAATATCTGTTCACTGAATCCTTTGTCAATTAGATGCCTGATGTTTTATTTTTTTGTCTTTTAAAATACTAATGCATTTGGACTAACTGGAATAATACCAAATAATATGTTTAATGTATTAAAATAAGTCTCTACGTGGTTTCTGTGCATTAAAACTAAAACATTTTGCTGCTGCTGAGAGAAAAGTTAACCAACTTGAAGACCAAAGTGATTCTACTTTTGTTTCTAACAATCGCCTCTTCTCATTGAAGCTCGTGGCAAATTAAAGAAAAAGCAGTAAAATAAAACTGCCCTCAAGACAAGATTAGGAGATTAAAGGGATTAGGATTAGATCAAACATTTGAAGAGAGAAGTTCACTTTTAAGTTATTATAATATAATTCCAAACAGACTGAAATAAAATTAAACATTAGCATCATAATATAACACGATTCATGTAGTTAAGGGGTACAATTAGTATGTTTTATTTAATTTTTGGATTTTAGACGGTAATTACATTAAAACCTGAGCTAAAATGTTATTTTTAAAATAACCCTTTTTTAATCTAAATGTTTAAATTTTTACGTTTTAACAAACACGTTCTTGAGTAAAAAAAAGTCCACTCCTTGTTCCTGCACGATGAAAGAAAAGGATTAAAAACATGAACTAATGTGATATTTTAGTCGTCCAGCTGTGAAACAGATCTATGGTCCTGGTAGCTGTAGCTCAGGAGTACGAGCGGTCGTCCTCAAAATCTAAAACTACAAATATTAACAGTGACTATTGCATTTTTTAAAATTATTTTTTAACACTTTAAATGAAAACAGATGGCACATTAAGTAGAATTCTGTCAAAAAATTAGCTGTCACAAAAAAAAGCGTGGCTCACCTTCTGGAGGTTTAAATCCAGGAAACTTTGGTGAATAAAACCAAACGACACATCATGTGACAAAAAAAGCTAATTTTAACCTTTAGATATAGTTTTGTGATATTAAGCTTCTAGATGCTTTTTGATAGTCATAACTTTTTCAACTTTACTGCTACATTTAGATTTTAGCTTCTGTTTAGCTCGTTTGTGCTTGTTGCTACTGTTAGGTAAATTTTAGCATTTAGCTATAAGTTTGTTGATTTTAACTTTTAGCTACAGTTTTACTGATTTTAATTTCTGGCAGCTCAATTTTTTAAAAACTTTTACCTACTTTTTTGCTTATTTTTGATAGTCATTACAGTTTGGCAATATTTAGCATTTAGCCATAAATGTATAACTTAGCTAAATTTACTGGTATCGTATTTTGCAAATAGTAGATTTTAGCAAAAGCTTTATTACATTTAGCGTTTAGCTCATGTTTTTGCTTAATTCTGCTTGTCACAATTAGGCAAATTTTAGCTTTTAGATATATATTAGCTGATTTTAATTTTGAGATAGTATTTCAATATTTTAAAACTTTTATGTAGTCCTATTGTTTTGTTCAAAGAGTCCATTAGGCACGCTACTGGCTTACTACGTGTTCATGTGACAAGACGTGATTGGCTGACGTGGCTTCACCCATCACAGACCTACTGTTTTACTTGTCTTTACTCTTTACTACTGTTTTTGCTTTTAGCAACAATTTCCTGTGGGATCAATAAAGTTCCATCTTAGCGTAGCTAGGGTCATTTTAGCTTTTAGCTATTGTTCAGCTTCTACTTTGCTTGTTTCAACTTTAACAGTTCAATCTTGAACAAATTCATCAACAACTTTCAGGACTTAGACGACACGTTCACAGAAAATGTGATTTCTCTGGTGTCGTGATATTCTGCAGCGCTTTTCCTACCTTGAGTGTTTAGGAGGCGGGACTTCCTGCAGTGGTAGGACAGTTCCTGCTGGCAGTGCTCCGACTGGTGGACGATGGCCAACAGCTGCTCCTCCTCAGACAAGTAGTCCAAGTGAACCGAGTGCTGTTTAACACCAGGAGATGGCCGCACTGTGGTCAGCTCTGTGTTGTTGTGCTGGATCACCATCCACGTGTTCTCATCTGGCGACAAAACATTGATGCAGTTCATACGCATTAGTGTTGATGCCTAATTTAAATGCACGAAACGCTCAGCCTGGGATGTCTGAAACAGAATTTGTATAAAGAAGGTGACTTACAGTTAGAAAAAGACAGAAAAAAATAATATGAGGAATAAAAGACAAGTATATATGCACACATGTCAAAACACATCACATGTGATGCTCAGTTCAGAATTTCTAACAATCTGTACCTTCAACATCAGACAGTAAGAGATCCCAAACTATTTCAAATGATACAGCCTTACCAGCCACATCACTGAGTCTGATTTTCTCCAGTTTAGAGCGAAAAAAGACCCTAATCCATCTCGTATATGTAGGTAGAGCTGCACGTTTACTATTTAACAACATTAGCTTCCTGGCCAGCGGAGCTGTGAATGCTTTTAAGTCCTTTTTAGCAGGAGAGAGACTCTAAATTAAAATCAGCTGCAGATATGCTGTACATTCAATGATCATTTTATGAGATTCAGTAAAAGCCTTCCAGTGATTGTAGATATTTTGCTAACAGACAAGAAGCATTGATTCCAACAACAAAAACAAAATGGCACATCTGGACTATAAGCTACTCCCTTTTTCACACACTTTGAATCCCGCGGCTTATACAACGCAGCGGCTAATTTATGGATATTTTTTTTGACGGACTAACGAGCTTCATGCTGCCAAAACATTTAGCTTCGTCACACCCGAGCGCTCACGTAGCTGCTCAACACATGTCTCTCTTGGGAGGTGGGTCCACGTCCAGTGAGACTACCTGTATAAAGGTAAAAAATTAAAATAAATTGCCATTTCATTCACAGTGGACCAATAAAATGAGGAGGGGAGGAGAGAATGGAGATGGGGGAATTCCTCCTCCCCCTGAGGGAGGATTCCTCTGCATCTGCAGAACAACTTCTGCTCCAGTACAAACTTGCACAGGAGGAATATGAAGATAATGATCAATGACTTCCTGGTAGGCTACTGTGTTTTGTATTTTGTTTTAAACCAGCCGTGTTACCGTACTGTTCAGAGAAAAACATTTACTGTACGTAGCCTATTTGTGTACGTTACGGTACGTATTTAATTAAAAGTCTAAAAAATCTTTCTGTGCAAATATCTCAAGTTACAGCGTGAACAACCGTGGCTTAAAGACAAGCGTAGCCTACATATGCACAAAATTATAATTACTTTTGTAATTTAGTGGGCGTGGCTTATATTTGTAGTCCATAAATTACGGTTTCTCCCACCGTCAGTCCATGTTTGAGTATGTGTTGGAGATGACTCTCAGCTACTACCACACCAAATTTTAACTCGTCTTTAAAACTGACTGAGTTGCAACAATTTAGTGTTTGCTAAAGTCTACTGGCTGTGGAGGCCATTTTGAATTGCACTGACTCCAAAATGTATTCACTTATAGATGTACTTTCAATTTTTACTTTCAGGGAGTTTCATTAAAATTCGCCTGGTGGTTCATAAGATATTATGCTAACACTTGCCTTTTGCCTTCTGGGCCATAAAGATAAAGAAATGTGCTGAAAAAAACACATTGTGTTGAAGCTGTTTAATGATAATAATGTAAAGCAGTAATGAGGAATGATGAAGAGGAGGAAGTCACCTGTCATGTTGCAGTAGACCAGCTGAGGTTTGACCGGCCCGCTGCCGTCCACGTCGATGTAGAAATACCCCGACGTGTTGCCGTTGTGTTTGTACGCTTCACAGGACTGTTCGTAAACAGCTGGGAGGAAAAAACAAATAAATATGTTTTTATACAGGGGCTGCGACGAGGATTGTGTGGAGGATTATGGGTAATGTTTCATGTGAATGTAACACAGCTGAATCCATGTCTCATAATCACAGATTTTATTTCTGCAACAAAGTTTAGAAATAAGAGCAGGATTCAACAGATCCCATCTAAATCTAACGATTTAAACCAAAATTATATCCGAAGGTCTTTAAAGTCCGCTCACCTCTTTATCTCTTCTTCTTCTCCTTTATTCAAAAACATCTGCTGTTAGAAAACAGTTTCCACAGAGACACCGGGAATAAAAGTTTGACCTGAAGTGAGCTGTGTGGGAAACGTCTGACTTTCAGCTTCACTAAAAGCTTTCAGCACACGACCAGCCAACTTCAGCTCGCTGCAGTGGTTTGGTTTACTTCTTACAGGACATTTGTAACTTCAGTCTTAGTTACAGGATCGATAGCCTCCACCATGACGCCCACATGCATGCACGTTTTTTTTTAAGGAGAACATCAACAGATGTTCAGTTCTTGCCTCCCACTTTTCTCCATTGCTACAAATACAGATTATTAATCTAATCACTATGGTTGTACAAACGTTGGTTTCTTTTACATGAGCTCCTAATTTAAAGTTTATTTATTATTATGATTATTATAATTATTATTATAGCTGCAGAAAATCGGAGACAAAAAACTCTGTTCATCTTTAAAGATGTGCACTCATCACGGATCAATGTTCAGAACGAGTTATAGTTTAGAACATCCATCCATCCATCCATCATGCAATCATCCATCCATCCATCCATCCATTCATCCATCCATCCATCCATCCATCATCCAATCATCCATCCATCCATCCATCATCCATCCATCCATCCATCCATCCATCCATCCATCCATCCATCCATCTTTACCTGCTTCTTCCTTTTCAGGTTGTGGGGGTGACTGGTGTCCATTTCCAGCAGTCTCTGTGTGAGAGGCGGGGGACACCCTGGACATGTCTCCAGTCCATCACAGGGACACATAGAGACAAACGAGACAAACAATCATTCACTCTCTCTCTCTCTCTCTCTCACACACACCTAGGGACAATTCAGAGTTACCGATCAGCCTAACATGCATGTTTTTAGTCTGTGGGAGGAAACTGGAGTACCCGGAGAAAATCCACGCAGCATGGAGAGAACGTGTAAACTCCAGAATGATAATATCTGAGTTTTTATTCAGGAACTCCTCACGTCATCGCTGACTGAGCACACTTTTAATACTTTTAAATCTGTTTGTAAGTGTTTGGTTTGTACAGAATCTGGCACCACGGTGGTTCAGTTGTTAGAGCTGCCACCTCTCAGTGAGGAGGTCGCTGGATCGAATCCTGGCCGGGGACCATTTTGGGTGGAGTTTGCATGTTCTCTCCGTGCTGCGTGGTTTTTCTCCGGGTACTCCAGTTTCCTCCCACAAACTAAAAACATGCATGTTGGGCTGATTGGTAACTCTGAATTGTCCCTAGGTGTGAATGATTGTTTGTCTCGTTTGTCTCTATCTGTCCCTGTGATGGACTGGAGACCTGTCCAGGGTGTCCCCCGCCTCTCGCACAGTGACTGCTGGATATGGGCACCAGTGACCCCCATGACCCAGAAATGAAGAAGTGGGTAAAGCTAATGGATGGATGGATGGATGTGGCCTTTAAATATACTTAAAACTACTGATGCTTTACAGTAAATTGAACATTTTCCTACAGTTGCCAACAATTCAATTAAAAATAAATTGCTATTAATTCAAGCAACCTGAGAATTATGTGTTTTTTTTATTTATTTTTTTTAACTTTAGCTACAGGAAACAAAATCCAAGACTAAGATATTTTTCAAAAACTCCCCAAAATTCGAGCCGAATGTTTGATCAAGTCTGAGTTGCTCTGTTCGATCTTAAAACTTTCATTGATTCTAATCAGACTGATCAAACCAGCTTCGTTTGTCTCTGCTCTGTGATCATGTGACAGTGCTGGCGTGTCATGTGACTCACAGCTGTGGCAGGTGGCCCCGCTGTAGCCGCTGTCGGAGCAGTTGCAGTGAAACGTGGTCCAGGACTGACTGCAGCGGCCGCCGTGCTCACAGTGACTCGGAGAACATCTGAGGGAAACGGAGCAAAGTGAGCAAATCCACACAGCGTTCTGAAGACGCTGCGTTTAGCAGAGTCAGCTTTATACAACAAGAATGTGTCCGTACAGTCGTCCGAAAGATGGGCGGAGTGCACGTAGCTGCTGCTCTTTAAGAGCGCGGCCTCTTATCCTTGTCAGAATACTTTTAGGCTTAGATGAGAAAAGGGGAAGAAAACATGAGGAGAGAAGGTATAAAAAAACAGATCTCTCACACCAGGTCCTAGACAAAGTAACATAAATAGACATAATACATATGAGGCCGGTGAAGGCGTTGAGTTCAACTCTGCTTCTAAAAATGTCTCTCTGAAAACAAAATGAATATGGATTTCAGATGTTCACTAATCTAAAAAAAAAAAAAGTCCCAAATAGAGCTCTACCTCATCTGAAGCTGACGGACAGTCCTGGTTTTATATAGAAACTGTAGCATGAAGCTAGATTACAGTAAAATGAGCCACGTTAATTGCTTTTTTGTATACGCATTGTAGTCTATCACTCATAGAAATACTGAAGGGAGTGGGGGTTTTGGTGCTTTGCCAAAGGGCACTTTGGTGCAACGCAGAGGAAGGTGATTGAACCCCCAATCCTCCAAATACACGGTGAACTTCCCCACTCTGGACCAAACCAGCCCTCAGTCAGAATCCAGTTACAAAGAGGAGCATGGGCATTCGATGCTTCTGGTCGTTTGTTTATCCAGTATTTAAATGTTTGCTTGTCAACCTGAACATGGCGGCACCTTGCTTCTGTGACCTTTGAACCCTCCCTGGGCTGCAGTAGCGACGACAAAATGCAAACACTTGCGAGAGTTCTCAGTTTCCTCCCGTGAGTCGCAGTCGCCGAAGTTTTGACATGTTCAAAGGATGTGCAAAACAAACTCTCAAAATACCGTCTCAAACCAGCTTCTGTGAGTCCGAAGTTATGAGAATTAAAATTTTGACTGATTAGAGATAAAAACACTTATATCAGACACATCTTGACAGTTTTTAAGTCACGTCATAAAAGTCATCTCCTCTTCTTGGCTTTTCGCACCATGTGAGCTTTGACTTTGTAGATTATTTGGGTTAATTTTATGCGTGTTTCTTTATGTTTTGTTAGAGAGCTGCTTTTCTGAGATAACTGCTGTTACGTTTGATTTATTGTAACCGTACAGACATTTGTCCCCTGGTTGTTTGAAGTGCTTCATATTTAAAGCTGGTGGTGAGAAAGAGAATAAACTGGAATCAAACTGACTCCTGATTGAGACACTTTGCTTCAGATTTGCACATCACTGACAGGAACGTCACAATTTACCGTCAGGTACACAAACGTGTCATTAGCTCGAATTCAGTGTGATTCTGCATCAAAATGTGTTTTTCATGCAGATTTGTGTTTCCGACTGTTGCAGCTCAGTGACTTGCAGGTGGAGGTGTCCTTCACGAAGTTATTTTTCCTGCTGAGGACCAGCTTCTGAAACAGAGGAAACTGTTCAACGTGTTGAAATCCCTCAGTTTTTAACCTGACTGTGATCTGAGAGATGTCCCAGAGCAAAACAACTTGAATTTACAGGACGTGATGGAGTTCTTGCCAACGTGTCAACGTACTTGGTGTGTTAGGAAGGTTTGTTAAATAAGGAGGTTATTCATTCAAAACTTGTTTGTTTTAATGCTTAAGGTTTTTTATTTAATATGAACAAGTTTTCCTGTGAATCCAGAGCATCCTTTACTTGTTCCCAGCATCAGATCTTCTCCGAGTGCTTCCAGACCGTTTAAAGTGCTCCTTAAATTAATCGACCTCCCGAGAGACGCCGTCGAAACATTGTGGTTTATTTTTAGATAAATACTGTAAATCTGTCACATCGTGTCATCAGTCCTGTGGAGGAGGATGGAAAGAGGGGGTGGAAGCTAAAAGATAAATACTGACAAAGTAGAAGCTCGGTAGAGGATCACACAAAATTAAAGCAATACCGTAAGTTGTTGAAGAAAGTATGATGTTAGAAAATGCATCATTTTTTAAATTTCTTCACGGTTTTACAGTTTTTTTTTTTACACATGCAAATTCACCTCCTCTCCTGTCAACCTCTGAACACAAGTGTTCATCATGAAAGCTAACGATAGTGTGATTTATTGGACTAAAAATCAAAGGTACGAACAGAGCAAAGAGGCAGAGAACGCTTTGGAGGGTAAAGACGCTGCATACAAATCATTCTGCTCCATGAAGCCGCTCCATTCAGCCGTTTCATCATGAGGTCCTGCAAGCTTTTCAACATCAGAGCCACAAAATGATGGCAAAGAACACAGAAGACGTTTGGTGTTCATGTGCTTTGTAGTTAAAGAATCTAAATTTAGATTTCTTCTGACTGCAGCTTCTAACGATGCACAGCAGCAGAAACTACAAATAAAACCCTTAAATCAGAGTCAGAGTCAGAGTCAGAGTTTCTTTATTGTCATTCGCACCTCATGTGGTACATGTGGTGGAGCGAAATTATGTACACGGGGTCCCAGTTACATCCAACAATAAAATGTCTAAGAAAAACAGTAATAACATCTAAGATATGAACTAAGAAAAACATCAACTAAATATACACTAAGCACTCATAACATAAAACATTGAACATCAGCACAAACATGAACATGAGTCTGTGAGCAGATGTGCACGCATGAACACATCAACATTGAAACAGATCAGCAGCAACATGAAACAGATCAGCAGCAACATGATATGGTTTTTCACAGTGATTATTCTAGTTAGAGATTCATGAGTCTAACAGCCTCAGGGTAGAAGCTGTTCCTCAGTCTAGTGGTTCTACACTTAATGCTCCTTAACCTCCTTCCTGAGGGGAGTGGGGCAAAAAGTGTGTGTGCTGGGTGGGTGGGGTCCTTCATGATGCAGGTGGCCCTCTTCCTGCATCTGGAGGTGTAGATGTCTGTGATGGTGGGGAGACTGATTCCGGCAGATTTCTGTGCAGCCTTCACCACTCTCTGCAAAGCTTTTCTTTCTGCAGCTGTGCAGCCTCCATGCCACACGTTGATGCTGGAGCACAGGATGCTCTCCACTGCACACCTGTAGAAGGAGGTGAGGACTGAGCTTCCCAGACCAGCTCGCCTCAGCCGTCTGAGGAAGTAGAGTCTCTGATGAGCTTTCTTGATCAGGCTGGTGGTGTTGTTGCTCCAGCTGAGGTTGTCATTCATGTGTACACCCAAGTACTTGTAGCTGGAGACCACTTCCACCGCAGATCCTCTTATGTTCAGGGGGGTGTAGGTGTTTTTGTTCCTTCTGAAGTCCACAATCATCTCCTTTGTCTTCTTCACATTGATGTGAAGGTTATTCTCTCTGCACCAGCTCTCCAGGTGTTCCACCTCTTGCCTGTAGCTGGACTCATCATTGTTTGTGATGCATCCCACCACCGCTGTATCATCTGCAAACTTTACAATGTGACAGCCTGAATGGGTAGCTGCACAATCATATGTGAGCAGAGTAAACAGAAGGGGGCTCAACACACATCCCTGAGGAGAGCCAGTGCTGAGGGTTATGGTGGAGGAGGAGAGGTTGTGGATCCTCACTAACTGTGGTCTGTTTGTTAAAAAGTCTAGTACCCAGTTGCAGATGGAGGGGCTTAGTCCTAGTGTGGATAGTTTGTCCATCAGGGTTTGGGGGATCATGGAGTTGAAGGCGGATGTGAAGTCCACAAAGAGCATACGGACGTAAGAGTTTTTCTGCTCCAGGTGGTTGAGCGCAGTGTGGACCACAGAGGAGATGGCATCCCCTGTTGATCGGTTCTCACGGTATGCATACTGATGAGGGTCCTCGTTGATGTTGATGGTTGTTTTGATGTGAGTCATGACCAGTTTTTCGAAGCATTTAGCGACTATCGGGGTGAGGGCCACTGGCCGATAGTCATTCAGACCAGTCACTGTAGAGCTTTTTGGGACTGGGATGATGGTGGCAGTCTTCAGGCAGGTGGGAACCGTCTCCAGGGTAAGTGAGGTGTTAAAGATGTCTGCCAGCACCTCACAGAGCTGATCAGCACATTCCTTCAACACTTTTCCGGGGATGTTGTCTGGGCCAGTTGCTTTGTGCGGATTAATCCTCCTGAAGGTACTCCTTACTTCTGCTGAGGTCACGCTGAGATGCTCTTCATCCGGTGGCGAGGTGAGTCTGGTGCTGGGTGGTCTGTTCGGGTCTTCAAAGCGTGCATAGAACTTGTTGAGGGCATCAGGCAGAGATGGGTCTTTGGGGCATTGTTCACTCCTTCCTTTATAATCTGTTATGCACTTAATGCCCCTCCACATGCTCCGAGGGTCTTGTGAGATGAATTGACCCTCGATCCTCTTTGCATATGTGGCCTTGGCCCTCTTGATACCAGCAACCAGCTCTTTTCTTGTCCTACTCAGCTCCTCTGAGTTTCCAGACCTGAAGGCAGTGTTCCTGGCTTCCAGCAGGGTACGCACCTCTGCATTCAGCCAAGGTTTTCTGTTTGGGTAGCTTTTAACATTTCTGATAGTGGAGACTGTGTCAGTACATGTAATAATGTAACCCAGTACTGAGGATGTGTATTGGTCAAGATCAAGCGAACCTCCATTTTCAGCAGCTTCTCTAAAAACCTGCCAGTCTGTTCGGTCAAAACAATCTCTCAGTATGGGTCCACTGTCCTGGCTCCAACATTTAACTTTCTTTTGTACCGGTCTGGAGTGTCTCAGCGGGGGCATGTAAGCAGGAGCCAGGAAGATTGAGATGTGGTCTGACAGTCCTAGGTGGGGGCGGGGTTCGGCTTTGTATGCATCTTTTACGTTCGTGTAAACACGGTCCAGCGTGCGGTCTCCACGTGTCGGAATCGTCACATGCTGATTAAAGCTTGGGAGACAGTCCTTTAGATTCACGTGGTTAAAGTCTCCGGCTACAACGTAAAGAGCCTCGGGGTGTTTGTTCTGCAGCGAGCTGATGATATCATGAAGCTCCTGTAGTGATTCATTAGCATTAGCGTCCGGAGGAATGTAA